TCAAAGAGCCAGTGGGTGGATAACCTCCCAAGCGTGCTCTAGGCATATAGGACGACAACTTGAACAACTACAAATGAAACTTCCTTTAGCCTAGCTTTTGGCACAGAAGTCGTCAAGCTAGTGGAGATCAGGCTTCCCTCTTCCAGAGCTGAACTCTTTAGCCCCAACTAGAATGATTGATCTTTACTCGTGAAACTTGACCTCCTCAATAAAAAAAAAGGAATGAGGTATTGCTAAGGATCTCGTCTTACCAAAAAACTATTACCAGCAAGGAAAGACCCCCAGGCATGGAAAATTGGGCCCAATTAGGAAGTACCTTATATAGCGGAAAGGGTCGTTAGGCTTGACAATTATGAGTTGTAGATTGAAGAGGGGAAAAACCTTGCCCATTCATGGAACGTAGACAACCTAAAGAAATTATATCAATAGTCTGGTCAGGTTGGATACTCCTAACTTTAAATTTTGTAAACACTTCTTCTTGGAGGATGATTATGCATTTACGAAGTGAATGACATTTTTGCAAGATCTTGATATCAAAATTCTTGAGTACCAAAATTTTTTCAAGTGTTGAGGTTGTGCTAACAATGAGCTTTTCAGCTCATGCTTCAGATAAGCTCTTCAGCTTATAGAGCTTTTTCAACTCGTGCTAAAGATGAGCTCTTCAACTCATACTTCAAATTAAATTTTCACTTATAGAGCCTTTTCTGCTCATGCTAAAAATAATCTATTTAGTTCATGCTTTAGATAAGCTCTTTAGCTTATAAAGATTTTAAGCTTGTGCAAAAAATGTGCTCTTCAACTCATGCTTTAGATAATCACTTTAACTTATAAAGCTTTTCAGCTCGTGCTAAAGATGAGTTGTTCAACGCATTCTTCAGATAAGCTTTTCAGCTTATAAAGTTGAAGCTCGTGCTAAAGATGAGCTATTAAGCTCATGCTCTAGATAAGCTCTTCAGCTTATAGATCTTCTAAGCTTGTGCAAGATTACGTTTTAATGACTAAAGACTAAGGGACCACTTGGAGATGGGACTTAGTCAGTAAAACTATAAACAATGAATTACTACTACAAGGCTAATGCCCCTCAATAGGTGATTGGGGGTAGGGCACATATGCAGGACAAATATCAATATCTAGCACAAGAATAAAAAAAAAGCTATATATTTGATTTCTGAAAGAGATTACCAAAAAAAAGAGTGCAACAGACTATTACAACTTGCTGGCTTAAGGCCCAGTTCCTTTTCTACTTAACTTGTCTAATTGCAGCTTTAACAAGGCATTCTCCTTAGCTAGTTTCTCCCTCGCAAGCTCAGTAAGATAAAGCTCCTCTCTTCTTCTGGACTAGCTCGTGCTTCAGGATGATATCAGAACTTTCATCTTTAGAGTTGGCAGAAGGAATAGATGAGGATGATGACCCTCATAGCCTCTTCCCAAAGGAAGGAGCATTCTCCCCTCCAGCTTTTTTCCTGTCACTAGAAGTCTCCACTATGACCTCTCGGATGGGGGTAGGCCCTAACCTAAACCTTAAAAGGTTCTAAGCAGTAACCAAGTTTGTAAAGGACCATAACACATGTATAGTAGTACCGAGGACCCTAACATGCTCAATTGGAGGCAGCTCGAGGACCTCCTATGCAAAATCCCAAATAATGAAGGTTAGCTAAATAATAAGCAGGAGACTTGATGTCAGAAGTAGAAAGGTCTATAAATACTTACCCATATTTGCGGGATTCCCTAGTAACGGGGAACTTGAAAAGCCTCAACAACCTCCCCTCAAATTCCCAAGCGTTCTTGTATATGAAGAGGAAGTAGTGGACCCAACCTTCTGAAGGGAAAGGAAGGTCTAGAACCAGTTCAAGCACCCGATCTCTCCAAGCAAAGCAATAAAATCCAAGAAAATAATCGGGAACTAGATGAAAGAAATGAAGAAACTTGGGAAGGGAAGAAAAATTATCATTGCCATGTAGGCATCAAAAAATGCAAAGCCCCACCAAAAGTCCCCAACCCTCTGATGAAATTTTAGGGGGGCACATGATAAAGAAGTGGAAAATTTGTCTAATAAAAGAAGATGTAGGGAACCTAAGTCTAGCCTCAAAAACATACTCAAAAAAGCAGACCTTCCTCCCCGAATACAGGTTATAGGGTTGGTGTCAATACGAGCATGAATAGTGATGCTGGCGGGGAACCTATAGGATTCCTTAATGGCCTCTGCCTTGACCTCAGAAATGTTACTGGGAATTATAAAGGTAGCCCAACTGGGATCCTCCAAGGCAAACAAATTTTTTTAGACTGAGGAAAGAGGGACATTCATGTTGTCAAAAAGGAGAAAGAAGATCACCCAGATGAAATTTGTTCAGACAAATAGACTGCAAGATAAGAACAAGCGTGAAGGGACACTTGCACTTTTAAAGCCAAGAAGATGATGGTTCACCTTCCCTAGAGTCATTTGGTATAATGGACATGTAATAAATAGGAAACAATTATGATAAACCTAGCATTGAGGAGAGGAATCGACACACAATCCTAGGCGCCTATTAAGCTCCATGATAGTTTGACGGCATAAACAGGTACCATCTATTAAAGTCATATCTTTTCAATAACCGTCACAAGGCAACTCAGACAAATAGAAGCTCTACTGAAGTAGGGCATATACACTTCAATATGTATAAAATGAAAAATTTCAACAATGTGTTGCAAAATTCTTGGGCACACAAAAAATTCTCTTTAGCTTATGCTTGAGATAAGCTTCTCAGCTTATGAAAGTGTTCAGTTGAGTGCTAAATGTGAGCTCTTCAACTCATACTTGAGATAAGCATACCAACTTATAAATTTTTTAGCTCTCACATAGCCTAGCCAAATTCTAAGCCACCAAGTCCAAGGGCCACCCAGAGCTAGGACTTAGAAGTTATAATCATAAAGGATATCACTGCTACAAGGAATTTTCCTTTCAACAAGTGAAAGGGAAGGGATGTATAGAAACTTCTTGCACAAGGCAAAAAAGAAAGGAAATGCAAGTTCCATTGCAAAAAAAGGAAGAGTTACAAGTTAAAAAAAAAAAGGAAATTACGATTCCCGAAACAAGGAAAGCATGAAGAGTCCTTTGAAGCTAGCACATCAACTTGCTAAGTCAGCTCCCTAAGTCTCAAACCCTTCAGGTGTAATAGGAGCAGTCTAGGTATGAAGAGGAAATTCAACATCAGAGGTTAACTTCTCTGGATCTTCTTCAGTTCGACCGTGTCTAGCTTTTCCAGCTGACCTTGTAGGCAGAAGAGGAATGAAAGAATCAAATTCTAGATCAAGGAACTTCTCTATGACCTGGTCTCTGAAGTCCTTATAGCCATTGGCGTAGTTATAAGCACATTCCACCCTCAGATCCTTAATTGTCTGGTCCTTTGCCTTCAGAGTAAGCTTTAATCCCTTGAGCTCTAACTTTATCTTGCCTACCTCTTGATCCTTGGTCTTTAGGGAGGACCTCAAACCCTTGAGCTCCAGTTTTAACTTAGATGCCTCCAGCTCAGCTATCTCCTTTTTAGATCTGGCAGAGTCCACAACACCAACTATCTAGCTTAACTCTGCCTCCCTTTGCTTTAGCTTGTCTTCTAGAGTACTCTCTGAAGACTTCAGCAGAGCAATTTGGGAGGTCTGCTCCTCTTTCTTCTTTTGTGCATTGGCCAAGCCAAATAATCACTCATCAACAACCGTCTCAGCCCTCTTAACTCTCCTCAAGAGGGCACTGATATGAACATTAACCTATAAGAGGTAAAATATGAAATAAGAGAGTAATACATGAGAAAAGGGAAGGCAAGAGCTCAAAAGAAAAGAAAAATAGAGTAAATACTTCTACAAGACCGTGAAGGGCACCCGCAACCTCGATATTAGCATTAAGAGCAATTGACCTTTGGATGTCCGATCATGGCAAAATACCCAATAACTTGGAAACTGCTAGGCAAGTGTTGCTTAAGACAGGACCCTAATCTATCGTAGGTGGGGTGGAGGTCCCTTCGGAGGAACAACTAGAATAACCGTAAACATTGATGTTGGAAGAGTTAGAGGAGCACCAAATTCTTTGGAAGCTGCAAGACGTGGATCAGCAATAAGTAGACCTCCTTCATTGGTTGAAATGACTTCTAGGACCAGTGATGATAGAAGTAGAGGACCATTGAGCTCCTTAGAAGTTGTTGAACCCCCTTCATAGTCAAAGTTACCTCAAGAGTCTAATCTCCCTTAGGGAGATTGGGAGTTTCTCAATCCTAGGGACCTTAAATCTAGTATTGAGGGGAACCATGGGGTCAAGGGGCTTGGTCAGGCATTTTTTTTCTCATCTCTTGAACCTCGTCTAGTTTTGGTGCCATGGGGTTAGTATTTGCAGAGAATGAGAAATAAGATTAGGAAAATAAGAGGAGAAACAGAAATCAAAATGAAAAATAAGCAAGCCAAAGTGTTGAGCTCATACCAGTAGGTTCTTGTCGATATCTGGGAGTTAAGTCCTCATCCTCGAAGGGGATAGGTCTTTAGATGGGAACTGGAATCTTTTTGGACACGGGAGGCCCAAAGCCATGCTACACTAGCTTCTCAGGAGAAATAAGCTCATTGATAGTCCTCGTCTCGCACTTCTCTATCCTCACAACCTTAAGCTCTTCAATGAGAGTCTGCTCAACTTGGCATTCTTCCAAGTAAAAAATAAAATTTTTCCATTAACATTAGAGAAAGGAAGTCAAGCCAAAAAGAAAACCTTGCTAGAGGACAAACACTCACTCAAATTATTGGGCTCCTCCCAGAGCTAGGGGACTCGAAGATCATCAGAAGTATCGCTCGGATTCTTTTCCTAAGAATCACCCGAAACATAAAAGAAGTGCTCTTTTCAATTTTTATGAGAACAAGGAGCACCTGTGACTATGGAATGGGCATTGACACGTTTAATCCTTAATAGTATGAGGGTCTTATCATCAATGACCAAATAAAAAACTCTGATTGTGGCAAAGGGATCTAAGAAGAGGGGGAGAGCTACTAGAGACCTACTTAAACCCCTAAAGTATCGAAAATGAAGAACCAAGAAGTGGAGTCCTTGAGACCACCATTGAGGATCAAAATGGCACAAGCTTGATACGAAGAAGCAAAATGAAAAAGGAAAATGTACCTGGAAGACGAAGATGATAGGCAAAGGCAAGTGACTTAGACGTGAACTAGATAAGCACCAGAGGATCTAGGCCCAAAATTTCTTGGATTGTTCGAATCCCTAAATCAATTCCTCTCAAACCTCACAAGAACACTCGATAAATTACTAGCACTCCAAAATCATAGAAGATTTGGGAAAGAAAGGGGTTGGGAGTTGAAGAGCTTTGGTAAAGAGAGAAATCGAATTGAAGAGGGTTTAAAAAGAAAATATTTTGGTAGTATTCTATCTCCGTCCACATTAAATACGTCTGCATGCCGTTCCACATGACACTATGTAACTAGCACGACCTGAATTACAAGGCATAGTCCCATGATTGCACAATGTCGTGATCTCAGCGAAACCATCCGTTCACATCTTTTAAACCATCTTAAGCATTTTGAGCTGTATATAAAGAAGAGAAATACCTCAGGATGACCAAAAGCTCAATCCTGAGCTACATCCAAGATAGACAGGTCAAGTTCAGGATTGGGGGGCAACTAATGATACCCAAAAATGACATCATAAGTAAATAAAAAGGGATCTAGACAATGGGCCTTGAAAGGAGCTTACAAAGGAAGTGTATTCCATGCCCTTGTGTCCAAGCATCCATACTCGGAAGGAAAGCCAGGGTCACTTGCATACATCTTGAATTAATGGAACCCAGATCGACCATAAACGACCTCAAGTATAGGTGCCTAGGTTGTCTACGCTACGTGACAAGGAGACTACAACAGTAGGTTATTCCAAAACAATACGACCTCTCAATAGACTTTTCTAGAGATAAGGAAGATCATAACGCGTCCAATCACAAAGATGGATTATGAGGCCACCTCAACATGTTCTAGAAAGCCACGTCACACCCAGGGTGATCAACCATCAAAAGTGATATTTTATTATGTTTAATGATTGTTTAATTGCATATTATTTTGTAATTAAATGTGTTAGATTATTTAATTTTCTAGTTTGATACTTTTTTTAGTTGTTTGGTTTATTTTACAGGTGAATTGGTTGATTTAAAGTAATAATGGATAAGACAAGTGAAACAATTACTAGAGGAAGAATCATAATTGATAAGGATTGAAGAGTCAAGATTAAGACCAGAAGATTTGAAGATAAGGATGCAATTTAATTCTTATAAGAGTCTAAATTAGAAGAAATATCATTTAAATTTGGATTAGAAAAGTATTCTAGAAGATAAGAATTTGACATATCTTCAGTATTTTGGTCATAAATTTTGACTCCGATATCCGATTGAACTAATTTTTAAAGGGCTAGAAAGAAGACTTCAAGTGATACAAAAGCATATTTCACTAAAATTTCATGAATCGTCCTCTAAATATGCAAAATTTAAGCTCAAAATCTAGACAGATTTTGTATTTGCGCCTCCAAGATTTTATGCACGGGAGTTAACCTTAAAAAACTTCTTTTTGAAAAGGAATTCTTCCCAATCCAACCTTATGTCATCTACCGGTTCCTAGGATTTATTTTAGTATATGATGGTACCACGAAAATGCCCAAGGTTGAGCTCGGTAATATAGGTCATGCCACTCAGGTCGGGAGCTTAACTCATTTACGATATTTACAGACCTCGACCTCAAACCTCAACTCCTTGTGTCTGCATCTCAAGGAAGGTTGTGTAGAAGACATTTGGGATCCCACCAAGTACCCCCTTTGTAGCAACAGTTACTCAGTAGACGCAACATACATTGTAGGACGCAAAACCATTGTGCAATAAAGGCGACTGTTATAATGGCGAGGGGCAAGGATCTTGCCTCAGATCAAATTAGACCCAGGGATAACTATAAGTAGGAGGCAAAGCCCTCGGAAAAAAAAATTCATTTTAGCCTCACTAAAATACTTTTTGTAAACTCTCAAGTAATCAATATATTTAGGAGCAAGAGACTCTCTGAAGAGTGGATTAGCCGAGCTCCCGACCTGGTGAACCACTATAAACACTCTGTGTGATCACCCACTTATTCCTAGATCCTTTTCCCAAGAGCCTTGAAGCTCAAACTGAAATAAACTTGATCGTTCAGTGCCCTTTATATTCTCATCACTGCTCAATCGTGTTAAGAACATTATCAGTTGGCACCGTCTATGTGAACGACTGTTCTTGTTAAAAATATATTTATTCTTTTCAGTAATTGATGGTTTCTACGTGCTACATGAGCAAAGGTCAAATGAATCCTATTTGATTACAGAATCAACCAGAAGCTACCACTAAAAAACAACAAGAAAATCCCAATGATTTCTACACACGAAATCGATCCCCCCCATGGTGGATCCTTTACCTAACAACAAACTAGAGGCCTTTCGCCTAGCCAATCATCGTCTCCTCTAGCAGAATGAGGAATTACTCAATCTCCTTCTGCGTCTCCAAAGGACATAGCCAGTCCAGGATGATCCCCCGAGGGAACAACAGCCTAAAAACCCTCTAAGAGATGTAACCGAAGGAGATGAACATAGTCAGATAGTGGGAAAATGCCCATCATCGAGTTTGTAGGAATGAGGACAATGTGGAGGTGCAAAGTCAGAATAGGAAAACTCAAAAGAATGAATTTTCCCCATTTTAGTCGGAAGGGAAAAAACAATATTAAGAGCAGTGCTTCAGGGAAATCCAACATGAGCTTAGCTATATGAAGGAGGCTATAAGAGGGAAAACTCCAGTGACCATGGATGCCTTGGTTTAGTAGACTGAGTCTCCACTTACCACACATGTGCTATATTTTCTGCTTCCACCAAAATTTAGAATGCCCCAGATGGAGGCCTTTGATGGGACGAAAGATCCTATAGACCACCTCAACACCTCAAAAAACCAAATAGAGCTACATGGGTACTAGGAACCAGTATGATGTGGAGCCTTTGACATAACTCTAAAGGGTTCAGCCTTAACATGGTTCAATAGGCTGACTCCGACACTTCATAGGAGCTCAGACTTATTGAAAGCCGAGCTACCACCTGTTGAACGTAAAACAGAGACATAATGAGAACTTGCGGAGTTATGTTTAGAGGTTCAACTCACAATCTCTAAAAGTAGATGTCCCTGACGAGAAATTGGTCATCATTATCTTCATTGCTGGGCTGGGAGTCCAATCAAAGGACCTGATGTTCTCCATCTCCAAAAACCTACAGGCTAGTATGACAGAAATCCTTGCCAAGGCAGAGAAGTATATCAATAGTGAGGAAGCGCTCCTTTCCAAGGTAGGGAGCTCATCCATGCACAAAGAGAAGGAGAAGAAGAGGGACCAAAGTCCTAGAAAGGAGAGAAGTCGAAGCAAATCTCCACAGACAGATAGGAACTACTCTTCCAAATGGAGAGGAGACATCAGAAACCGCCTAGGTCCTTTACCACAGGAATTATATTCAAAATTTTCACCTTGACAGTTCACTCCCCTCACAGCCACAGTGTCCTAGGTCCTTTATAATGTGTGGAACAAAAAATTTATAAGGTGGCCACCTTGGATAAAGGCAGATCCTGCAAAAAGGGATGCAAAAAAGTACTGCAAGTACAACAAAGATCATGGCCATCTCATTGATGCATCTAGCTAAAGAAGGAGATCAAATTCTTGAATCAACGAGTGCAACTGCCCCGCTTTGTGGCACAAGATAATCAGAACCGAGCTCACCCACCCCCAACACCTCAGCAGCAAATGCTTGTACAACATTAGCAACCTCTGGGAGAGATCAGAGTGATATCCGGAGGATTTGCTGGAGGTGGGAAATCTAACTCAGCCAAGTCGACTCACATGTGAAAAGTTAGAACTGAGGAGGTGCTGGAAGTACAAGCTATGTCAAAAGCACCTTGGTTGAGCATGGACATCACTTTCTCGGATGAAGACCTGGAGGGTTGTCAGCATCCCCACGATGACCCTTTGGT